TTCAGGTGAGTTATTCCTAGGGTTCTACCTATGGGTCTTGGGTGGGTTTAAGGTTGAGGTATAGGTTGTTATGTTTTGGGGTGCTAGGGGGGGTGCATGGTTAGAAAATGGAAATGGTCATCACTAACTTATATTAGGGTCCCCTGTTTTCGGAAACCCCCATATTCGAGCCCACCCCACCCAAGACTAACACTCAGATCGAAGCCCAAGGTCAATTGAAGCAACAGTTGAGGAGAAGCTGCGGAAGCTGCCACCGCTCCCACCACATTCAAGATGCCAAACCCATTGCCTAGCATGTAGGCTTTATGGTTCAGGGTTTTACGACTGCCACGCGCGGGTAAACATGAAACACTTGAAGGGGTGGGGTGCAGGTGCACCCACCAGGCACTCGGAGAAGTCAGGCTGAACTGTGAGGAAACGTTTTAACCCAACTAGATCAGGAGCAACCTGGGAGGGGGTGTCCTCACTCGAGAAATGTTCTAGGGCATGTGCAAATACCAGCTTAACCAGTGCGGAAGGCGGCAGGCCTGGTTTGTGGTGACGATGTAGGGAAACTCTGTCATTTAGTGCTGTGCCGAAAGCTACATGATGTAATGGGCCTGTAGAGACTGGAGCAGAAGCCGAAACCTTTGAGGAAACAATATCTGTGATGGAGTGTGTGGCTGCCCTGCCTGCCGCCATACCTCCTGATTTGAGATATGGGATTAATGGGAGGACTTGATACATCCTGTCCTCAATTGTTGATAGAACCAGGGGTTTAGGGTTTAGGGCTTACAGCTACAGGTATAGGGCACAGTTTGGTACAGGGGGTGCTCAGATGGTTCTTTGTTCAAAACTCGAGTTCTCCGAGATGCCCACTGCACAGACTATACGCCCTACTAAACAGACATTACCCAAAACAGGACCAGTAATTTAGAGGTCCCCATATTGGTGTGAGTATTTTGGCACTATCCAGGTAAATCATAGCAACGCAGTTAGGGCGCCACTTGTGTGGCTCTTAGGCCGAAAGGTCAAAGGTTTAGGGCTTAGGGGTCTGGGATGTTCAGCCAATGTAGACGAAAAGGTTTGGATTTAGGGATGTGAAGTGAAGTGAATGGCACTTGCAAGGAAGGTAATTGACCCCCATACGAGCAACTTCTGCCAAGCTGTCGTCCAATCAAACAGCATTGATTATCAGTCTGAGCCCAGTAGACTTAAAAATGTAGCTTCTCATGGGGGCTTGGACCCTAGCAACCGTTTCCGCCTGCATCCGTTACAGTGCTTGGCCTGTTCCTTCAAGGTGCTTTTGTCACTGCTGAAACGTCTGCGCTTCAGTACATCGGGGGTATATTGGGGGCATATGAAGGGTGCATCATAGACTGTGTCTTGGGGTATATCAATCAACGAGATATTGGAGGGTTATTAGACGTATACTCGGGGTACATTAAGGATTTGTCCATGCATGTTGAAGCAAGAGTGTACCTTGCCTCACCCAAAATGGTCTTACGAAGAGAACGGTTCCACCGCCACATTGCCTCTTAGGCCTATTGCGCCTTATCGAACCTTGCACCCGCAAGACTCACCAAAAAAAGGCATGGAGCCAACTGCTTCCTTGAGCTAGCGGCCTCCCCCCAGTCGCCCTTCGCAGCCCTGCGTCCACGTTGTCTGCGAAGACGCCCACCCGCTGTGGGAGGCGCAGCTGCTCCTGGAGAACTACCCATAGGCTCCTTAGTAGTTCCTATTGGGGGGTACTTTATAGGAGTCTATGGGTAACTATGTACGCATGTGCCACTTCCCTCTTGACATGAACCCAAGACGCCTGCTACCCCATAATTTAGAACTGCAGCCACCATCCATGGAGGGACCCCCAATGTGACTTAAGGTCTATGCCTGTCAGCACGGGGTATTGGGCTGTCTGGGAGTTCTCCATCTACAATCCATCTACGGACCTGAAATGAACTTGAGGGGAAGCTTTTGTAAGGGAGATGATGTCTTTGAGGGGCCTTATGTTGAAGGGCAAGCAGGATGATAGTGCAAGGGTTCTGCAAAAAGTTTTGCTGTGAGTGCCCATGGGCTGAAACCTCTTTCAATTTTGAGTGTTCAAGTGCCAAGCTGGGACTAACAAGCGGCAAGAGAATTGTGGATATAGTTTGTGCACTTGTGGAACTGTCGGATGATGTGGACACGGGTGGTGTTCTTCATAGGCACTCCTGGACGGATTGCACAAACGGGCTATGGCCACTGGAGTGCTCATCATAGGCCGGCAGCCCCGGGCCGCACGAGTAGATGACATACAAGCCGCCTCGGTCACGACGGCGTCTGTCAGTCAAGGTCTGCCGGAGGGGATCGCAATGGTTCCCAGCGCTCGGACGACGGCAGCAGTCTGCCAGTAGGACCGCGAACAAGTTCTTGGCCGGCTCGGTAGCGCCAAATCGCGCTATGCCTGGAGGAGGTCTGCCTAAAACAGGTGGAAAGGGATGTCTACAGCGACTGACCGTTTAACATACCTTGCTTTCAGAAACCCCAACCTTCGCGCAGATGCACTTCCATAAGGTCGCGGCACAAGCAACTTGCATCGAAATGGGTCCCCATGTCATCATGAATCGCACTCTCTGGGGCCCACATCATCCTGCCGTCCACCTCCACGGCATGGCCAGAGTAGGAGATCATCAGCAATGCCTCTCAGTTTGTAGAGGGAGTGAATAGAGACCGGACTGGCTTAAATTCGTGCTCGGAAAACGGGGAGAACATTACTATAAGACTATAATCATGGGAAGCCCATGTAGGGAGGGACCCGTACTAGTATGATTTTGGCCAATCTCAACATGGTAGAATGAGAATGGCTAAAGTACTTCTCAGATCTCGAAACTTACACATCACCTCCCCAAACTAAAGCTTAACCTCACCCCTGCAAGACAGACGTCGCCCGTGCAGTCGAGATACGGTAGTGTCAAATGTCCTAATTACAGCAAGAGGGGTCGGGCTAAGAACGAGGAGACTACGCATAGTCATAAGAATCAGAATAATAATAATCATAATCATCATCATCATCATCATAGTAATTCGAGCAGAACATGGGGGGGACCTTCCTTGCTCTTGCTCCTAGCGTGTCCTGACGTCGCTTACTTGCAAAACCGCCAGCACGGAACTGCAAGTTCTATTGTTTCATAGAAATGATAGGAGATGGAAGTATCCAAGACCCAAACAAGCCACTACTGGCTCTTGTTAGGCCCCTAGCTTCTTGTCGCCCCGCCTAACCCTGTGATTGTCATGTTTGGTGCAGTGCAAACCCTTCGCCTTAGTTGTGCCAGCCACCTTTTGCACGGCTCTGCGCAAGCCGTTGTCGATGTCTGCCCGAGTAGAGGCCCGCACAGGAAGCACCTTGGAGAGGTATGAGTTACATTCATGACGCCGGGGTGCGCTGTAATACGGGCGCGGTATGACGCCTTTGTTCAACTTCCCCACTACACTCTGGTAAGGCTCCCGGTATTGAGAAGATGGTATGCGCCATCATAAAAGCCCATTACCCCGCACACAATGAACATGCCTCGTACAGTTGCTTGACCACGTTTTCATTCTTAAGCTTCCTCAATATTATACTGGCTCGGAGTTCATTCAGCTCTTGCTTTCATGGTGATTTCTGTGGGAGTGGTGGCATGAAACTCGTAAACAGCCTCGTGTACTCCTGGGCTCGCTTCAGGACCCACTACAGTAAGAATCATTTGCCTGGTCGCAGACTTTCTGCCATGGCGACAGATTAGCACAAATCAACCAAGGTTTTCCCAATCTGCTTTCAATAAATGCCCTCGTATGAACCCAGTATATGCCGAATACATTTGCAATACACCCCGAAGAAACCCGAGTATACCCCAAGTATATATCTGTAACTTAGCCTGTAATACTACATATGTGCTGGACATACTCCGCTGTCTCGACATCCTACCCCCGCCGAAGGACTTCAAGCTGACTTGGGGGTTCAATGGGGTACGTTCTATAGGCATGTGGGGGCGTGTTCGGTGCATACTTTAGGGGCGCATTAGGGGGGTATGGGAGGCTAAGGTGGGTTGATAAAAACGAAAATCCCTAGGCTCCAACCCCCACCTCGTCGTAGCCCATGCTCTGGCACTCCTGCGCCAAGACATCCGCATCTGCATGTGGTGTCGTCAGCCGTGAATAATACGCCGTGTCGTAGTAAGCCTCGCATGAAATGGCAAGCAGCACGCGGCGCGGATGGTCAATCAATGGGCTCACCGAAGCAACGTCGCCGCTCGGAAGAAGCAACGGGGAGACCAAGTTGTCCATGAAGCTCCTATAGCACAAGCGCAGGCGCTTGTAGCAGCGCCAGCACAGCACAAGCAGGAGTACGACTGCTGCAACCGATGAGGCCACAGCAATGACAGCCATGTGCGTCTGCTGCCGGTGGTATTCTGCGCACTCAGACTCAGACTGGCGACATGATCCGGCCTCCTTGCCTTCTGATAGGCAGCAAATGCTTTTCCCGCTGTGCGATGCACAATCAATCCCTTGCTGGTCTGTCACGCGGCAAGGTGAGTAACGTGCGCTACAATCAGCAACGCTGAGCTGGCATGGGTCATGTGCAGATGGACTGCCCTCACGCAGGCAGCAAACAAACTTGTCTAGCGAGCTGCACAGCACGCCCCTGCCCGTGCCAGTACATGGGGCGTAAGCTACACATGAGTTTCTCTGACAGACTGCATGGGGATCACGGCTGACATTCTTGTTGTGGGTGACCTTGGTGCTTGGCAACAAACAGCAAGGCTCATCTTGGCCAGGCGAAGAGCAGTCCACCCCGTCACCGTGCAAGCAGCAGCGCGCGCCATTCTGACGATCCTGTGTCGCTCCCTTCGGCAAGCAGCACGGATGCCGCTTAGGAGCCGACCCCTGCAGCGACAGCTTCCAGCTTGTGCCACACTGCGTCGGCCATCCGTGGTCGCTAGGCACGCAGCAACCGTCTCCGCAGATGACTGGAAATACCTTGTGTTCTCCATATCGAACTGCCTCGCAACACTCCCACTTGCAGTCTCCACTGTGCCTGCCACCGGTGCGGCATTTGTAGATCTCCGGGCTGGGGACTTCAGACGGGTTGCAGCAACAGCCCAGCTTGAAGCGGTTGGCCTTGAAGCACTGCTTGCCTTCCTTCACACACCGAGTCTGGCAATCCGAGCTGTTGCATTGGGCGGCGCCCGGGCCACTGCATGTGTCGCAGTGGGGAGCGTGCCGGAAATCATCCTAGGTCATGCTGGCGCACTAGTTCCTTGGGGTATATAGGGGCATAATTGGCGACATGGGGGTAAAGTGGGGTCTAGCCATCGAATATTTGTAGATTGTTTTAGATCGCGTTAGGTAAGGCACCAGGGTCGAAGATCTGCCAGAGACAATCCTGATGTGCTGCAAAAAAGTCGACCTAAAACTTTGACGCAAACACAACCCCAAGGCGCAGGAAACGGAAAGGACTTTGACGCAGCTCCAGGCAGGAAGAAGCCAAGGATCAAGAGTTGCAGGACCATGGCGCTGGAATGCTGAAACGAACTTGAGCCGGCGGGTGCTTGCGGAAGCACATTTAGGTTGCCCCAATGTACCCCAAAATACTCCACAAATCCAAAAAAACTGAATCAATAAGACTGAAATATTCTATATCTGTAACCACATTATACCAAAATGCTAGCATCGCAGCCCAGTATAACCCATTCCACCGCAATACTTATCCCAACGCATGCCAATAACCAAATATCCAAAATGTAGTTATGATCGTCATCTCATCCTTAGTCATCGTAGTAGTAGTGATAATGGTGTTTGTAATGGTAGTTTAGTTGTGCAGTAGCAGAACTAGCCCGGTCGCGAAGCTCAGAATCTGGCAGAAGCTCCGATCGCGGGCAGCGAACCTCTCACTGTCTGAACCCAGGAAGGAAACCCAATTCGGAGGGTTGAGGGTTTCGGGTTTAGGGGGTTTCGGGCTTAAGGTTTAGGGGGCTTAGGGTTTAGGGGGCTGAGGGCTTAATTAAGGCTTATAGGGTCCCTTAACCCGAAACCTCAAGCAGGGGCCCAACAGCATATCCTACTTGTCCAGTATCATGGGTAACTAAAGGGTAATCTGTGGGATTATAGTACCACAACAAGGTTAAAGGTTACCTACCCTACTACTATGATACAGAGGTCCTCATCATTGCTCAAAGTCTACTGCAATGCCTGCGGCGAATTAGTCGGCAGTCTAGCAAGCCATGTCGGGAAGCACTAGGTCACTAGGTCTTGCGGATTGTGCTTTCGGGGTTCAGGGCTTATATGGCTTATAGGGTTTAGGGCTTAAGGTTTTCAGTTTAGAATTACAGGTTTAGGGTCCAGAGTTTAGGGCTTTTTGGGCTAGGGTATGAAGTGTTTTGCGTTTTGGACTTCGAGTCTACGGGCCGGTTGCAGGGTTTGCAGGGCTTTGGCTAGGGGCTCCGATCTTTTTATAAGGCCGGTCTCAAACCGGTTTAGGGTTTGGGGTTTAGGGTTTGCAATTTTTACAGCTCCTGAACTTGTGCACCAATTCCGGGACCACACCCTGTGGTGTGGCTATCAGAACTCGCTGCAAAGAACATGTGTTGCCCCTGCAGCTGCCAGCACCGCTTGGGTTGTCTTTGTCACTCAGTGTGTCACTGACTAAAGGCATCAGCAAGGGTGTTGACAATTAGACTGGGGTGTGTATACGCTTCTTACATGCTTCTTACATCTGTTGCTGGTTTTGCAGGGTTTAGTTCTGGGGCCAGGATAATTAGAGGGTGTTGGGATATGTTGAAGTTTGCGGGAGTAGTCGGGGATCTGATGCCACTTGGCAACCGCCCGAATCATAAGTAAGACGATGCCCTAGTAGTCCATATAACCCTATGGTCGGTTAGGTAAACCTGAACAACAAGTGCACTCTGCGGAACAATTATGAAACAACACAACACCGAAACGGTGCACAAACCTCGATTTCCCACTGGTACGCCACGCACTGGCGAAGGTGGAACACTCAACCCGGAAAACCAAATCTGCACTCCAGTAAACCCCCAAGTTACCTTAGGGAGATCTTCCTGACTCTCGTCCACTGCCTCTTGAAGAGTCAACCTACGGATCCCTGCAAAAAACGCCGGAACCCTTCTTCCAAAGCCCAAAACACTGGAAGCCCAGGGACACACACTCTTAACTCCTTCATGCTCTGCGGGCCGCACCTTCGGTGGGAAACCTTGAAGAAAGCCACCTCCATGTCAGCATCATGGGATTGGCGTTGAAGAACTTCCTATCATGTGAAAGGTCAGTACAGTGTGAACATGCTAGGAAAGAAAGAACATATTCTTCTGGGAGCTTGCAGGGTATAGTTTTTTTGGCGGACTTCTCTGGGATCTAAGGCTCCGTTTGCCTCAACAATCTGCCACTGGGTTACAAAATATGTGCCTTGTAAATAACCTACTGTCCAACTAACTGGAGCCCTGGTGTGTCTCCAAAGGGGTTTTCCGAAAATAGGGGACCCTAATAATATACTACCCTAAACAGTAGGATCCTGGTTATGAGAGCCCCAAGATAAGGTACCCTAAACTCCCATAGATCAGGCTCAATCCCGTCCTTGGGGGGCACCCTCGGTTGTCTGCATTCTCTAGGAGACACCCTAAACCCTAAAGCCCTGAACCCTCAACCCTAACCGCCCCAACCCCAAACCCCCAAGCCAGCCTTGTGAAGCCCTTGATGAAACCCATCTAGAGCAGAAGACAGAAGATGGGAACATCCTTATCCTCCATGGAACATGGCAAAATGCAGGCAGCGCGGGCTAAACTCAGGTAGGGGAGAGGGAGTCCTAGCACTAATTATCCTTCGACAAACCCTCATGCTGCAGGTGTTTGCTTGCTGTTCCGTTGCCCTAGATGATAGGATACAAAATGCAGAACTGTGCAATCGCGTGTTGTTTTGCAAAACTGCGGATACTGAAGACTAGGCGGGTTTCTTGAATCACTGATGCAGCGATTGAAAAGCTTCAACATTGTTAGTTAGGAATCAACAAAACTAACGTCGTGAGTCTTGGCCGCGCCTTCGGCGCCGGCCAAGACCTCTAAAATAAAAAACGTGTCGCTCTCGGCAGGGGTCTCGGTCTCTTGACCTCGATCAGCCACGATATTTATAACTGGGAACCCAACCAAACCTGACGTCGTGAGACCTGGACGCGCCTTCTGCGTCGGCCAAGACCTCTCAAATGAAAAACGTGTCACTCTCGGCAAAGGTCTCGGTGTCTTGCTGGCCTTTAGTAGAACAGACCTCGATCAACCACGATGGCGCCAGCATCTGGCGTGCCAGATCGGATGCCGTGCTCTTGCGGTAATTTTGGATGTCTACTCGGGCTCGAGCTGACAGCAGGGAGGACACAGAATCCAGAGAACCACTCAGAATGCTGAACATCAGCGGCGTAGCATCGCAATGATGATAAGCTAGCAGAGTCAGTCTGGAAGGGCTTACCCGATGCCTCACACCCATGACATTCATCAGAAGCCACCACCCGGGCTCGCGGATATGCACTCGGAACTGTTCATTCACATTTGCCCGAGCCTCGAGCAAATCGGAAACGACGTTGGCAGCGCCACCTCCAGCGAGCATAAGTGCGATGTGTAGGCAATGTCGCAAACTCAAACCTGGATTCAGAGTGAGCATCTCCTTCATGGCATACCGACTTGCGCATGCACACGAGACTATAAAAGGGCTCATTTGTGGAATGCACTGCTGATTCACGTTGGCACGAGCACGGCAGAGTAGACGTACTGCGTGTGGATTGTCCCCGGCACATGCGATATGGAGAGCATTGCCACCATAAGAATCCTTGTAGTTCACGTGGGCCCTGGCGCACAGAAGCAGCTCGACAGCTTCATTGTTGCGAAGAAAGGCAGCCACTCCCAGAGCCGTCAGCTTGGCAGGAAGATTGGCTTCTGTTGCGGGCTTTGTCGTAGCCTGGTTGATATCCACCTTTCGGTCAAGAAGCGCTTCCAGCACAACGACGTTGTTGCTCATCGCTGCAAAGCAAATGGGCGGCCACCCTGCATCATCCCGCTCGAAGATGCTCCTGGCGGCACCAATCGAGGACAAGCATGGAGCCGTGACTTTCACAAGTTTAGGGGCTGAGCATCTTGGGTTTCTACGCTCCTGAGGCCGTTCTGATGCAGGAAATGTTCCAGCATGAAGCCCTTGCAGTCAACACTCGGGTCGGTCTCAGTGTGGAATCCCGGAACAAGGCCGTCAATGGGCTCCACGTCAAGGGAACGGAAATACTGCGCCGTTTGTGCGTTCAGAAGGAATCGGTAGTTGTGAAACTGTCGATGCTCGAGGTAATAGAAAAGCTTGGACCAAACCATCTGAGTAACAATACGACCGATCCACACTCGGTCACCATCAAGCGTAAACTCTCCTTCACCAGGTGCATCCCTCATGCTTAGTCCTTTCCACAGCAGCGTCTGGTGCGCGGCGCTCTCCACAATGATGACGTAGCCACCTCTGTGGGTGGAGAGTTCGCGTGCAACTCTCTCTGTGCGACACCACCTGGACTGGGTTGCGGGATAAAGAACCGGCAAAACTTAGGCCTGGGCCCGCACAGGTGTATCGTCAAAGGCAAAATCTAAACATGCAAGTGCAACTCAGCTACCCCCTTTCGCCCCAAGTGGCATGGCTCAAAGTCCGCTTCTGATCTCTGTGCTCCAAAGCCGGGCATAGCACGACAAAGAACTCGCATCTTGCCACATATGTTGGGATGCTTTGAATGGCTGTCTGACGGCCCTGAGATGCTCGTTGATCGTGGCTTTGTGGGATGCTAAAGTAGTCATACCAAATGTGGAGATGGCCGGATGCGAAGTCGCCGGGTGGAGGGCATCTTCTTCGACCATAAATGATTTCTGACAACAAAGCTTCAGAAATTGAGCTGGTTCCGGCAACGATATTCCTTAGCGTATCCTGCAGAACTTTCAGCTGCTGGAAGTCTGGGTCAGGATGGGTGTCACTCAGCCACTGGTGCGACACGAACATTGCCTTTCCCAGGCTCTCATCAAACTCTGAAAGCACACCGGCGTCTGTGAGCTCCTCGTGCGTCTTGACTTCTGTCATCTGCAAGAAAGCATCGGCAGGTACCGTGTACATCACAAAGGTGTGGCTGCCTAAGCTTGAGACACGCCCCTTCCGTGTCGAAGCCCTTCTATGCCCTATAATACAGTTACTAGTCACTACCCAGTAGGCTCCTTTGACGATACAGCATCTTCCACAACCCTGAGCGCTAAGTCGGACAAGTCGCCTGAAATACTGTCTCGATGCTTTTGCAGCGCCGACGCAAACTGCACAAGAGACGCGCTATCCATGGCAATTTGGAAAACAGCCTAGTGGCTACTCCGGAAAGGTTGAAACACTCGGCAGCGGGTCATAGGCTGCACTGGCGGAGCAATCTTACAACAAGGGAAGCGATGCCGGGGTGCTGTGCAAAATCCAGAGCAAACCAATATGGAGCAATGACATTCTGTTCTCCAGGACGAGCATTGTCTTCATGGCGCAGAGAGCCCCTAAACCCTAAACCCCTCAACCCCTAAAAACCCCAAAAGCCCTAAACCCTAAACCCTAAAGAGCCCCCGCCGACGGTTCGAATCTCAACAGGTAAATCAAGCGTCCGCCTTTCACAGAGGGACGCTTGGGCCCCCAAGGGCGGGTCGGCGGCCTCCAAGAAGCTCTTGACCTCATTTGGGGCTAAATTTAGGGCTTCTGGGTTGAAAGAGTTTAGACCGTAGGGTTTAGGGTTCCTGAGGGTTTAGAACAGGATTTAGGAGAGTTCTTTATTGGAGCCTACATAATGCTGACTACCCTTGTTCCAAGCAGCTGAAAGTGCTTACGAGGCAACAGTGCTGGAACCACTTTTTGTACAAGCACTCCAAGCCAGTACTCGTGTAAAGCTATTAGCATTCAGCTCACATGTTACTTTGCGTGTTCGAGAGAAACCAAGAGGCGCCCAGCGATTTGCCACGGAAATTCGGGGATACAGAGGCAAGAGCTATCCTCTATCCAGGGCTGCGGGCTGAAGTAAATCTTGTGCATCTTTAAAACCCTAAACCGTGGCCGGCCTTATCGTGCACGCCACGGTGTAGTACGGATCTGCAGACAGTTCTGCCTCGCGAAGCGCTTTTCTTCCGGAACTTCACGGCCCGAGGTTTTGTCGCCTGCTTCGGGTTGAGGGTTTGGCTGTAGGGTTTGGGGTTGTGGGAGGGGGCTGGGGAGCCGGGAGTGTGGCTCAATCCGGAATATACTTGGACGTGCTAGAAACATCCAGATGCTAAGCTCCTACCCTACAAGACAAGGGGCAAGAAGGAAGCTGGAGGGCTTCATGAGCATCATTCTTTTCTGACGGGGCATTGGCACTGAACCATGGCTGCAGACTTGCAGTCGTTCTCAAGAAGCTTGAGCTTTACTTGCTCTACTTGTCAGTTTTCGCCTGATTGGGCGCTGAGAAATCGGGTCTTCGTAAACTTTACGGACCACAAATTCATGGTCAGGGTTTCCCTAAACCCTAATTAAACCCTAAACCCCAAAAAATCGTGTGTCCTGTCACAAATTCATGTTCAGGGACTCCCGAAAGGTCTGGGCCCTGGCTCTGTCATGGTAGTATGTTCACATTTTGTGGCACCCGGACCCCCAAAGTATGTAGAATAATAGTCTTTTTATAGGTTTTGGGCCACTATTTTACCTACTTTGGGGGGGTTTAGGAATATATGATATAGCCATTGCCAGAAAGCATCCAATACATCTACTATATGCACATGTACCTTCTGTGTGTGACGGGGAAGGCGAACTCCAAGAAACAGCCACGAGCCTCAGCTGCTGCGGACTGGAACCACACCTGTCCCAGCGGTTTCTTGACCGAGAGAAATAAGTTTCACCGCAACACCGGCATCATAAACCTGAAACCCTTTAAGATGCGAGGCCACAGAAGATTGAGTAGCGTTTTTGGGGACATCATGAATCATGAATAGAATTACACACGTCACGGGACTTTCATGGGATCCATTGCTCATTGCTCCAGTCCTCTCCATTACCCTGACCCTTAGCATCAAAATAGAACAAAGGCCTTATATAATAGGGTCTTTGGGCCCAAAAGCCTCAAAATATGAGTCCTTTGAGGGCAAAGGTGAAGCATGGACTGCGATTATCTCTAAGAAATCGACGCATCAAGACGGCGTCAAGCCGAGCACAACGTGGAGCACAGTGGAAACCAATGGTCTCCCAGAAAAAGGGCCATGACAGTGGGAGTAACCTTGCAGATGAAGATGAAGGAGATTCGATCGTCGCTGTTGTCGTCGGCGTAGTACAGTAGTAGGAGTTGGAGTCGGAATCGGAATAGGAGCAAGAGTAGGAGTAGGAGTAAGAGCAGGAGTAGGAGTATGAATAAGAGTAGCAGCAGCCGCAGCAGAAGCAGCAGCAAGAAATCAAATCCTGAATCCGAACTCCAAAACCTGAAAACATTGAAAAACCAGGGCCTTCACCTCTAGAAAAAACCCACAAAAAGCCTCAAACTCTAAGCCGTAGTTCTCAGANNCCCCCCCCCCCCCCCCCTCCGACCCCCTCTGTCCAAACCAGCCGCAACCCGCCTGGTAGTCAAACCGGCCCGGGTTCTTTCGCATGCTCTCCCTTCCGGGCGTTTTGAGGGGGGGGAGTTTAAGGTCTTCTGCCAGACAGCGGTTTAGCGTGCGAGCTTCTCCGGAGCCGGCTCGCCAAAGTTAAGGGCGACGACTCATAGTGCCCCGAAAGCCCCGAATAGAAGAACATGTATTTCGGTGCAAGGACCCCTGTGACAAGGACGGAGACCTCCGCACAGGTGTTCGGATCACGACGGCTCGACGCCGCTAATGCAGCAATACATGTAGTCGGATGAACTATCTCAGGTACTTCGGCGAAGTTCAGTCATGGTGGACCGAAACACAGCGACATGAACCCGGTCTCGTGCGGCACATATGTTCAATCTCAAACCTTTGTAGTTGCACTCCCAAAGAGCCCCGAAACCCGAACAACTCTCTCCCAAATCCCACACCTCCCACATCCCTGGCGACCGCACCAGGGGTTCTTGGCCGGATTGTTCGGAAAGAAGGGCGTGCAAACCGATGCCACCGCGCGAACGCGGTCGGGAAATTGCCTCGCAGCTGCTGCTAACAGGGGAGCAAGTGTCGAGTCTAAGGGCTGACTAAAAAGGGTCGACATACAGAGACTGCGCAATAAAGTCGATTTGTTTTGGGGGAAGAATAAGGAACTCGAAAACCTAAAGTGCTGTCGACAAGTAGATGCTCCGTAAAACACAAACTTCCAAAGCAAAGGCTCGATCTAGTCCTCACAGGAAAATGTGTATTAAGTGCAGTATCTATGGCCCACAATTCCGTTAGCTTCAGTCCCCAGCCACAAGCCCTACACCCAGAAATCATGTCCTGTTCACCCCCCAACACCCTGAATCCTGAGGGACGGCAACACATGGGATGAATCCAAGTGACTGCGCCATGTTCCACACCAGGGTGCCGCCCCAGTCATGCCCAAGAAGCACGACGCCTCAGGTTCAAAGGAGCCCGAAAATACGATTTAGGGACCGGGTTTCGACCCTAAACCCAAAACTTTAACCCTAAACCCTACGTTAGGGTGTGAGGCTTCAGGGTCCAACGCCCAACCGTTGAAGTCCCACAGATCCACCCCACGCTTAGTGCATTGCCAGGTACTGGCCAGGCCCAGTGCATCCAACAAAGCGCACATGTCGCCGCAAAGCTCCTGCCGTGAATGCAGGCCCGGATCCTCTAAGGGGCGATAAGGGCTACTATAAAGCTTACTGTCAGGTTAGGGTTTAGGGTTTATAGTTTATAGTTTAGGGTTACTTTAAGGGCTATACATTTAAGGGCTTTATTCTACTTTAGTGCCTTCGTGGCCCTAAAGCCTAAACCCCTAAACCCCTAAGCCCTAAACCCTAAGTGTGAAGGGTGACGAGGGTTGACATTGGTGAGGGGTGGGCATCTGAGAGGTTCCCTCAAGGTCCGATGGGCATTCTAGCGGGGTCTACAGAGGTTTGGGGTTTAGGGGTTTAGGGTCTAGGGTTTAGGGGTTTAGGGTTTGAGTGGCATTCTAGCGGGGTCTACGGTGTTTCTCTATAGGCTTCCGCGTTTTTGTTGATCCTGGGGTTGGGTTTGGGGTTTGGGATCACGCTGTGGGGATTTCTTGTCTTCAACAACTCGAGGCTTGCACTAACCATGCTCTCTCGGGGTTGGTGCTTCCTCGATACTCGAGTGCTCTCTCGCTTGTCTGTTTGCTGCTCGCATGTGTGCGTGGACCACCACCACCACCACCACCAGCACCACCAGCACCACCACCACCACCACCACCACCACCACCGACTAACGACAACAAAACACAACAAGAAGAACGACAACGACGACAACCAAAGGAAAGAGACACCACCATCACCTCCGCCGCCAGCAGCAGCGGCAGCAGGAGCAGAAGCAGCAGCAGCAGCAGCAGCAGCAGCAGCCGCGGCGGCAGCAGCAGCAACAGCAGCAGCAACAGGCAGAAGATGCAGCAATTCTCACAAAATGTGGGGGCAACAACAATGTTAGTACTCCTGGCGCAGCTGCATGTCAAGCACCCACTCAACTGAAGTAAACCTTGTTGAAAAGTTGGTTCGAAGACTTAGGATCACGCTCTGAGCCATCACTGATTTTCCCTCACCAGCGTGTCAAACTTGGCACGATTCTGGTTTCTCGTCAAGGAGTTGAAATCAGGTTACAACTACAGGCAAGTATCCCGAATACCATGCTGTCTCTTCTGCAGTCAGTGGCTCATTAAAGTTCCTTTCCAAGTTAAACTCATCCCTAAGACCCTCGTAACATCGAATGAAGGCCTTGCTAAATTCAACATGTTCCGCCTTCTCAAACGGTTTAGCGCTTGGGGCTTTAGGGACTATAGGGATTAGGGATGAGGGCTTGAACCCCCCTCGATGCGAGAGACCTCCTGGCAGTATTTCGCTTCATTTACCAGGGGCGCCGAGGTCTCTCCGTAACCTGAGCTCTTCTGAGAAAGAAAAGGGTTCAGGGTTTAAGGTTTATAAGGATTAGGGTTTTGGGTTTATATATGGTTCAGGGTCTATAAGGTTTGGGGTGTTGGGGTGTAGGAGCTTTAGGATTTGGGGTTTATAAGGTTTAAGGTTGGTTTAGAACGTTTAGGGTTTAGGGGTTTGAGGCCCTTCATTGAAGCGAAATGTTAAGTAAGACAACCCTTACTTGTTCGTGTAGGTCAGTGTAGGTCCTTAACGCATATGATTGTACCATTACAAGGAAGTTCGACTAATTGC